TTAAGAAGCGTAAACAGCAATTTTCAGTAATGTTGTTGCTCTGTATGCTGTATGCTGTGGCTGAACCTGCCAACATCTGGACTGTGAATATTCGCTGCCAAAGCTGCACTTGGTGGTTGCCAAACTGCTGAGCCCACGTGTGGCTTCGCAGCTTGATATCCAGAGAACTCAACTATGATTCAAATTCTGAAAAATCTCTGGGTCTATGGTTGCAGTATGATTCAGCAATTTGGAGGACAGACTTCCTAAGGGAAAAAAGAAAACAGCAGCAAAAAAAATCCCACACTGACCATATATGGCATACAACTCTTAATGAAGGAATAAACTCCTTGAGCACCTTCACCTTACAACAGAGCCCCATAACTTGCCTGGCTGGTACAACATATGGCTTATCACATGCATCAGGAGCTAAATTCTGCTCCCCATGCAGAACTATGCAAACTCAGATGAACTCCACTGATTTCAGTGGTACACATCTTGTTTAAATATAAATATACAGAAGCTCCTCAACATGCCTCTTGCTGGTGCTATTTGAAGTAAGCCTGAAATCATTAACAAGGTAGACAGCAGCTTCCTTACCAAAGAAAGCCTCCCGTGGTATTCCAGGAATGTAGTTAGAGAGGTGGATTCAGCCCCCACCACACAAAGATACTTGATTTGTAAATGAATTAAGGCTTGTGAACTGACAAGGAACAAAACCCCTGGTTCTGCACACCCATAGAATGCACTGGGAACCTCAATCCTACACTAATTGCTCTGTGTGCTCCAGGGATGTTTGCACACACATAAAAGTTGACCATAGCTTGCCAAAATGAGGTGCCTACCAGCCTGGTACATGGAAGAGTTCAGCTGCTAATTCACATTGCAAACCCTATTCCTGAAACTTGGCTCCTTGCCTTCTTGAAGATAAAAATAGTTAAACCGTGATTTTTGCTTCATTTATTGATCATTCGGGTGGGCCAGCACTCCGCCAAGGCATAAGAGTGCACAGCCCTTATGCTGTGCTGCTCAGCCCTGCCTCATCAGACAGGCCAGACACCATCCAGCCATCTGTACTGCCCTCATTCTTCTGGTGACGAAGCCTATGCTTCCTTTGCCAAGCAGAGTGGCTTAAGGAATATTCTCTAGTCCTTACAAAATACATGCTCGGTCATTCGGGAAATAAATGAAAAGAAGTGGAATAAATGCTGCTCCAGTTCAAGCTGAACAATTTGTTCAGCACTACAGAATGTTGCTTTAGGAAAGCTTCCTTTTAATACAGTACATGAGATAAATGGACCCCTTTTTTCTCATTCCCTTCTCTTTAACAGTAATTGAATGAAGTGGAGATTGTGAGGTAAAATCAAGCACATCTGGGTCAATTAGCATGGAAAGTCAATTCTTTAAAACCTGATGGATGCCTCTGGGAATCGCGCACTTCACAGCACGAATCTCAGCGCAGTGCCGCACTCTCAGCAACTCAACTCAATTAGGCCATTACGTGGTTCTTTAAATCTGGGGATGCAGGGGAATTGGTTAATTGTCCGCTTGTCATGGTTCCTCCTCAGGGAGCACGTAAACGTCTTCTGTTTCTCCTATAGATGCACGGTGCACATAAGAACAATCCATTTTTGCTGACTTATTCAAAGCTTATTTCTCCCGTGGGAAAATTAATCTTCCTCCTCAAACAGTGCCCAAAAGAACAAAGCTCTCCAGTGGAAACAAACCATCCAATCAATATGGAATAAGTTTTCAATTACTACAGTCAAGTTTATATTTCTTTTTCCCTACTAGACTCAACTACTTCTCCCTGCTTTCACTTGTTTATAGCTTTCACAACCAAACTCCTCAGCCTGCAATGGGGTTTCACCATTCTCTGCAGCTATGAGCAGCTCGGCCACACCCTTGGACTTACCTACTGTGCTGTAAGTCACCTGCTGACTTTGCAGTCATCGAAGCCCAAGGAAGCCATTTAAGCATTTATGAAGCACTTTACTCTGTGGACAAAGCTGAGCACTGACAGAGGATAACTCAGCCCACATCTGGATAGGTGGGCAGGATGACACATCCAGGCCTGATCATCTGTCCCCAATGAGAGCAGCTCCAGATCCACTGAACCAAGAGGTCCACTAAAGAGATTTTGAATAACCAGCCTAAGGCAGACTTTCCACTTTTAGAGAGTAAAATTAGTGAGATTAATCTGAGCCACATCTCCACACCACTGTGGCAACCACCCAGGAAAGACAGACGGCTGCCCCTGTCTCACCACACCACATCAGTGAGCTCCTCTTCATGTGCACACAAGAGGCTGCTTTCACTCTCCTTTTGGTTCATGTTTCAGACTACTGGACACCCAAAATCTCTAGCTGGCCTTGGTGGGAGACAGTTACTGGGTGCTCAGGGTTGTGCAAAACAAGTCACCCCATTTAGCCCCTAAATAGAGATTTAGAAGGCTAAAATTATCTTCAGATTTTTTTTAAAACTTGGCATGGTATTAAAATCCATCCATGGGGTGAGTTAATTTTTTACCATCAAAGAGAAGTTAAACAACTTCTTCAAGGTCATACAGCAGGATGACTAGGATTAGAATGCCACAAATTCCGTGTGCTATAACCAGAAAATTATTCTGTTTCCTAAATGTAACATAATTGAGACATAGTTTGATAAATGGAGACTGAGTAAGCCACACTAAATCTACTGATGTGTTCTGCAATGTCTGGATGCATCCCCAGCCCTAGCTATGAAAGGAAATGTAATTACGGTAATGGGAAAGTGCAGTCCACCCATCATTTGGGTTACCACACAAATACGTAGCTGACTCCAAATATAGAACTGCAGCAATGTTTCTTACGCTCTTATCTCTCTTAGATGTCTTTTCCTTAAGTTATTAGCTTGCCATCTTCTCCTCTGACAGGAGAAACAATCTATTTTAGTGTAACCCTACCAGCAAAGGGCTGTCACATCCTTCAGGACATAGGGAACAGCTGCTCAAAGTTTTCACCAGAGAGCTGCCATTGGAGACAGATACCTTCATTTGCCCACGTAGGTGTAACCAGCGTGTTTGCTCAGGCGCAATGCTGGGATGAGGGAGGGAAGCTAAGCCTGAGGAAGAAAGTTCAAGTAGGAGAGGAAGATCAGGAAACCAGAAAATTTAAAAAAAAACCTTGTGTTTTGGAACCTATGCCAATTTTAAAAACGAGGCATATGTCTCTTAGTGCAGTCTCAGCCATGAATGCAGGGCAGTGTAGAAATTCACAAGCCTCATTTAAACAGATAGTTTAGCTCTAGAAAAGCCGAAAAGCATAGCACAGAGTCCAGGCTAACTGCTCCTGCGATGGCAGTTTAGACCTGTCAGCTCCTCAGGTATAGAAATGTGAACTTACATTGGGATCCTTAGCACATATCACTCACTTGGTCTACATCATCTGGAGTACCTGTCTTCAGAAGTAGGTGTGTGTAACTTAAAAACTTCAGCTGCAGTCCCAGAGTATGTGCAAGGGATCCTGACAACAAACTTTCTGGCTCTCCTTCCTTTCTTCAATCCAGGGACACAATGCCAGGCACTTTTCCTCCTGTGGTAAACCGGCATGCAATTATTTTTGTGCACCTCAGCTTGCCTTGGCTACAGAAAAAAGGGGAGATATTTTATTAACTTTCATGTCCTGCACCAGAGTGTGATAGATAGGAGCACTTCCAGGTTCACCCAGTTTTTGTGGGCGAGGGAGAAATGGCTCATTGCCAGATGTCTGTGAAGGCGTTTAGTGGTATCTAAAGTTGAAAAATGAGTTCTGACTAACTTTAAAATACTAGCATCTTTAGGTTGTCATACCTAGATTTTTACCATGAGTTACAGGAGTATAATCACAGGCAGCAGTGAGAATTAGAGAAATGGATTGCGACCTGCACATCCCACAAGGCTATCTTCTTGGAAACACCTTGCTCTTGCACTGACCAACAGCGTGTTGCAGCCAAGTTGTCCTCCCAGCCATGGCAGGGACAGCCAGTTCCAGCCAGTCCCAGCATGTTGGTGGCAGCTCCTTCAGAGCTTCTGGACACAGCCACAAATCAGAGCTTCACATCGAAGGGACTCTGTCCACTTTCCACCCTCAACCAAAGCAACATGACAGCTCTGTTCTCAGTGAAAATAATATGGATGCTCATGTACATGCATCTGGACCAATTGTCAAGCTGTTGCAGATCCAAGATGCTTTAATTTCCTAGGTAGAAAAAAAGGGAGAAAATAAATCAGCAAGCTAGCTCTTCTGCCTTCTGTCGTTCTTATTTACTTGGAATTCATCAAGATGGTGCCTGATCAGTCGTGGCTGGAAGAAGAAAATAAGGAAGGACTAGAGTAATCACAGTAAATTCAATCCAAACAAGCCAACAGTAGTGTGAAGGCTTTGTAGATGTTTCATAATCCACATGAAAGGAGTTCCCCCAGTCCACTTTCTGCTAAAAATGCACCTCCATCCCAGAGTTAACACAGAGGCAAGTAGCAGCTGAATTGCCTTCCAACCATAAGGTACAGTAGCCCCTAGAGTTGAATGTATGTTATATATATGTTGAGGAAGGGACAGACTATTGCATGGCAACTGCATGTAGCATAGCCAATTCCTGACTGCCCTGCATATTCTGTAATTAGTCTCCTGTTCTGGTTCAGAGATTGTGTAAAATGCTGCTACCATGTTTACACGGGCTTCACTTTGATGCAAGGAACTATATGAAATATCACACACACACAAAAGACAAGGCCTTCTTCTAGAGCTGTCAACAGCACCTTTGCAACAGTGCACGCACCTTAAAAATAAATAAATAAATAAATAAATAAATAAATAGAAAGGGAAGCATTTGCAATGAATAAGGACTTGCTTTTCTGACCCTCCAACACCCAAGGCAGCACAAAACCTGGTATGTTCTCCTTGGCATTACAAATATATACACACAGAAACATACTTGCACATACCTATATAGACCCAAAACCCTTTCCCCAGGAACATGGCCTTCCCTTTTCAGATACGTACCAGCAGCAATGCATACACTGAAGAAACAGAGGCAGAAACCAGTCACGTTTTTTCACATAGTAGTTTTTATTCTGCTTGCAGCAATTCGTGCCTTTTCCAGCCACAGTCAAGGGTTGAATCCAGATGAGCCAAAGGCAGCCTAGGCAGGATGTAAATGAGACCACACCTTCCAAACACCCTCCAATCATAAGGGAAGAGCATGGATGTAAATAAAACCACACCTTTGCTGGACCAGCCTCCTCTTCTTACGTAAAAGAGTTTCCATGTAAACAAGACCACTCCCTCAGATGGCCTGCCTATTTCCATTCCTGATGAGAGGCATGCAAGGAAGGCCAATGCTTTTTACAATCTCTGAAGCAAAACAGACAGGAGTGTAACATTTACCCTTCTCTTGCTCAGAGAAAGGCTAGTTCCTTCTTTGGAAAGCACTTTCTTGCTGTGTGTGGGATACCATAAGCCAGCACAAATCTCTCCTCAGTTTTCCTGTCAACCATTTTATGAACAAACTACCTGCCTACAGGACATGGGTACACATTTTAAGGTGGAACTTCTACCTTGCACTGACAAGCCGCCTCAGTCTTTATACTGACATTAGATAGGTGCTTTCCTTCCAACTGGGCAGAGTTCAGAAAAATGCAATGGAAACAGTGAGATCCTCCTCCATTTTCTCTTATAACCTTCTTTCCACACGCACATCCAGAACTGATTTAGAGATTTCCAACCCAGATCAAAGCAAGAGGTTTGTCCCAGAAGGTAAAGAACTAAACTGCATCCAGGCTACAGTTTAACTTTTTCCAGATGTCAGAGCTCACTACAGTCTTCTCTAAAACTAATTCTGGTTTGGGCCAACAAGCAACTTAAATATCAGTAGAACATTACTATCAATGAAAATCATTTAACTACTTAGATACACTTAAGATGTCTAGGTTAGGCAAACAACTTGAAGCAATTCTGAGAGGAAAAACACTGTTCTCATCTACACTCTTCACAGTAAGAAAGTCCTGGAGGAATGAAACAGGCAGACTCCAACCTCCTAGAACAAGATACACGAGGCAGAATGAAAAGTGCTTCCAATACCACGTACTTTAGCCAAAAAGGTGGTTTTTAATAAAACTGGGGGTGTACTCCATTCCCATAGAAATGGTGGAAACACAGATGTTGTCCAAGCTTAGGAAAACAAAACTGTCCACATTTTTGATGTTTGCACCAAAGGAAAAGCTACTGCTTTGAACATTTGATGGAAGACTGTTAAAGGAAATTATTATTATTATCGTGGCTCCCACCAGTGTTACAAAAGACCAGGATCTGACAGCATTTTCCTTATAAATCCATCTTTCAGTAGAGTCTGAGTTGGCCTGAAATAGCTAGTTGGACCAAAATCTGGATTGTGATATCTCTGGAAGCAAAACTGCATCTGGCTGTTTACAAAATTCTGGTCTACAGAGACTGTGAGAGCAGAAGAGGGAGCATTTTTAGTGGTTAAAGCCGTCTGTCTTGTTTGTGCTGCTGATCAGCAATCAGCAACCAAAAAGGAAGTTTGGAATTAGTGCTGATGAGCATCCAGAAGTCTGCATGCACACTCAACCATGTCCTCCAGTGTTTTCTTCTGAAACATGCAGCTGGCACAAAACAGAGGTTGTCTCATGATATATCTGGAGCTCACATTTCCAAGGACATCCTGGACAAAACCCAGCAAGGACCACAGAAAGAAAAGAAAGATTCCCAAACATTCTTGATTTTCAGCAAAGAATTATTTCATGCCTGGGCTTAAAAACTAGGCTATGTCTAAAGCATGATTATTATACTAACTTAATGAACCAGTCCATTAGGCTTGAAGGGTAGCACTGAAACCAAAAGACAGATGCAGTTTTCTTTTTTGAGCCAGCTCCCCCAAAACTGCCTACCCTAAAGATGTATACTTTAATTGAAGCCAGAGAGGAAGTAAAACGAGAACAGCAGTCATAGGGCAAGTCTGGTTTGACAGATACTTCATTTTATGGAGTAACAATACTGGTTCCCATTCACAGCTCCTGCATCATTACAGTGTTCAGTGGCCTAGGCAACTCTCCTGTACATGTAGCACACCCCAGATCTCTATTTGCTTCTACAGCTTCCTTTCACACTTCAATTTCCATAGTTGTAAAAATGAAAGGAGACAATTATGAAGTTCATTATTATTTTTATTATTTCCCTGTATGAAGCTAATTAGGCACTGGGCAGAACAGCAATGGGCCCTGGTACAAAACCTACCACAGGCTGCTCTTTCAGTCATATGTCTGTACGTTTTTCTGCTTTGCAGTTTGTTTATCTTCCCTTCAGTGTTTTCTTCTCTTACCATTTCTGCTCCAGTTTATGCCACACACCTCTTCTTCCTCACTCCTCCTCCTTCATAATGCTCAGCCCTTTTCCAGTCTCCACATCCTGGCTACTGTCGTCTTGCACTTAACCTCAACTATCCTTTCAACTGCAACACCCCTAAACTCAAACCACCTAACCTGCACTCTCAGGAAACACCCATTCTGGGTTATTAGTTCTCCCTGTTTTACCAGATTTTACCAGCTCTTTTACACAAAGATGCCCTTAATATGTGCAGCACAATTGGCAAAAAACAGAACATGAGTGTGGTCTCTTAAACGCAGTGACTGTTTTATTGTGCATTCCTGCAACACTCTGCACAACTGATAACCTTTGCACACTAGTTTACTATTAAAAATGCATTACCCCATCAATTATGTCTTAATTTTGCTATTTCAATAGGTTAGATAAATCCCTTACATTTTAATTATCTAATTAGTTAGATCCTTTAGGGACACAGTCACTTAAACTTAGAACTATTTTGTGAACAAAATCTATATAATGGTATCTGAGATAAATTTTGAAACAAAATATTACAAGAAAGAAACTGCTTTTAGTGAGAGACCAATAAACACACTGTAAATTCTGAAGGTTTGCACAACACTGAGTCGTGAATGACTATTCCAGAAATGGAAAAACAGAGAGTCTCTTGACATCCAAATAGGGTGAGCAGGCAGTGCTCCAACAAACAAATCAGAAGTGGAAAGAGGAAAAAAAAAATGTCTTCTCATATCCAAATAGTTTTGAAAATGAAAACAGGGACTAAAAAAGAAGAATTAAAACATGGAAGCTGAAGCCTATTCCCACATTTTATTGCGCCACTTCAAAGAAAGCTAAATGCAGGCTCAATCTTGGTGAGAAACAACATACTCTGTTTTATTCAAGTGTTAGATAAGACTCACTGATGAAGATGGGGTTTAAAATAAGATGGGATATAATCAGTGCACAGAAAGAGAGGTCATGGTGCTTCCTCTTCTTTTTTCAAATGCAAAGATGACTTTTCTAACCTGTGCACTTGGGAGGTGATAGATCAGGTAAATAAGGCCCCCACATCAGCTCCTCCCCATGCTATTCTGGAAAGCAGTGAGTCTGAATGAGCAACTGCTGGTAACACTGACAAGTGCTTAATGCTACTGCTTTTTGCTATGAAAGGCAGGAAAACCTCTGAAGGAATACCCTTCACCAGCAAATGCAGCCCACACCTGTGTGCTCTGAAAGCATCCCTGGCACATCACCCTTCTGGGAGATGCTTGAGGGGTTACGGCAGAAACCCAACTACAGCTACTCTGGAAAGTGTTAGATGAGGAAAGACTGAGGGAGCTGGCTCTCTATAGTTTGGAGAAGAGGAGATTGAGGGGTGACCTTATTAGTGTATATAATTATATAAAGGGGGAGTGTCACGAGGATGGAGCCAGGCTCTTCTCAGTGGCAAACAATGATAGGACAAGGGGCAATGGGTACAAACTGGAACACAAGAGGTTCCACTTAAACTTGAGAAGAAACTTCTTCTCAGTGAGGGTGACAGAACACTGGAACAGGCTGCCCAGGGAGCTTGTGGAGTCTCCTTCTCTGGAGACATTCAAAACCCGCCTGGACATGTTCCTGTGTAACCTCATCTAGGTGTTCCTGCTCCGGCAGGGGGACTGGACTAGATGATCTTTTGAGGTCCCTTCCAATCTCTAACATACTGTGATACTGTGATACTGTGAGTGTTAGATCCTTTCTGCAGGGGCACTCAGATGAAACTTGATAAATGCAAAATGGTCATGAAGCAGCTGTAAGGAGAAGTAACGTCCTTGTGTTTGACTGCCAGCAGAGAATGGTTTAGTACCCCTGGGTCTCCAAAGAAGCTCTCACTAGACTCAAACCCCCCTGCTCTGTGTCTCAGGAACCTCCCCTGCAAACCCAGCTTTGAAAAAGGACGACATGCAACTGCTGACTCTCTACAAGTGGTGAAGCTTTAGCCAACACTCTCAACCATAATGTGTACTCAAGTACAGGACTCAAGTAAAATCACAGAAGATGCAGAATGATGGCTGTAGGTCTCCAGAGAAGCCATCCTTTACCTGATGGGCTCACTGACCTGTTATCCAACACTGACCCTTTGAACTACCCAATCCAAGGCTCTGTATTGCAGACATTCACAACAATGAGATTTGTTTTAGGAACAATTACAGCAACAGAAAACAGTAAAAATGCATTATTAAATTTGCTTTTACACAATAAGCTTTAATAACTCTAAATGAATCATAGAATACTTTCTAAGCATTCTTTGATGTGGGCCAGAAAATGGACTTTCTGCTCCTTGAAGAACACTGGGTTTCTAAATGTCTCTCCAGCCCCACTTACAGTGGCAGACATTATAAAATGTCACTGAAATTGTTTTTCAGGCCAAGCAAGACCAGTAGGTCATTGACACAAAACAAATTTAAAATTAAACTTCCCCAGTGTTTCTCCCTTCCAAAACCAAGCCAGAACATTGACATGTTTAAGAACAAAATAATTCCAAGGTTTTTCTAAGCTTTATTTTGCTGAAAATTCATGCAACTGATGCACAAGGTCTATTTCATCAGGATGCCTCTTTCTAATGAAAACAAACTCCAATTAAAGCTTCCCACTTGACAGAGAAATTTAAGGAGAAAAGACTACAAATGTTCCTGGTGACTTTTTTTTCTCAGTTGAGAAAATGATAAGCTATATAAACTGCATTACGCAGATGAGCAGGCAAAGGCCCCAACTTTAAACACACAACCAAAAATAAAAGTCCTGGAGATCTGAAGGGGATTTTCGTAGCCTGTCTGTAGTTCTACCTGGTTCCCTAAGAGGAAAACAAATATCGGACTGCTTTATATACTCTTGGGGGAAAAAAAATAATCCTGTCATAATTTTTAAGTGTGTTGATCATAGTCTATTTTTAGTTCTGACAAACCACAGAAACATCTCCAGAAATATTCTAAAGAAACACAGTGACCTTTCCAGCTTGGAAAGCAGAGATGCTTTAACAACAACATCCAATCTGCGATACAGGCTGGATAAATCTAGAAGACCCCTCGATGGCCTACCAAAAAACCTCCCATATTCACCTATATCCTATCCCATAAAAATTTCTTACCTAGGTTACCAAAGGTAGTCTTAACTATCAGCTCATACTCAGAAGCAGATCAAGGAAGAGGGAGCACTGCTCTGAAGATAGAAAAGGATGTTCATGGGAACCCAAGCTACAGGCAGTAAGAAACAACTTGTTAGCTTTACCTCTGTGTTTGAGGAGGCAATTCACCTAAGACCCAAGCAGAAACAAGCAAAGGTGGTGAAAAGACACTGAGACTCAAACTGCTTCAGGAATGAGAAAATAATGGTCAGGAAAAGGAGAAAGCTTCCAAAATGAACTGGGATTTGATACACAAGTGATGCAAAAGTAAGTGAATGCTTTCCAAAGGGCAAAGGTGGGCAGGGAAGAAAGTTTTACCCCATGCTCTAGTGATGACATGCTACAGCTGGTCAGGCAGAATGCCACCACTGTCCTATGGTCTATCTGCTGAAGCTGTCTATAGCTGGGTATTGTATTATGTCTAACAATTATCTCAGCTCCTACACTCACTTGCCAATTCAAAACTTCCTTCCAAGCAAGAACAGTCATTAGCCAAGAGGATCACAGACCTTGGGTCTTACTTCACCAG